TATTTTCAAGATCACTCAGAAGTGCCTATTAATTATGCCTTAACTATTTAAAAGATCCTGAGCATACACTCCTGTTGCTTTACAAACTTATAACACTTGGAACAATGGGCATTTTGTTTAAAACAAAAAAATCCTGAGCACGCTAGACAAAGAACTACACCCTTCTTCTGCAAGGTTGTATGTCTGAATGTCCTTGAATTCTTAGTGCTTTTGCCATCTTGTGCCCTTTCAAATGCATCCCAATCCAAATCAATATTTCCTTCTGAACTCTGTACTCTGTTGTAGTGGCATTGTGCCTCTTTATTTATTATTTATTTATTTGATTTTTATCCCGCCCTCCTGCCGAAGCGGCTCAGGGCGGCTTACAACAATAAAACAATAAAACAACTCATCTAAAACAATCTATACAAAACATTAAAACCACAATTTACACACAGTATAACCTACTCAAGATGACGACCATAAAGTGCTACATACTCAATCCAAGTTGCACCTCGCCCGTCTCTTGTGGGATTTTGGAGAGAGAAAGAGAGCATGCAGGAGTGGAGAACTGTAGCAGTGCTCTGCTCCCACCTCTTGGATCGTATAAGCAAAAAGTTGGAAGGGGCCTAAAGACCCATCTAGTACAACCCTCTTCATGCAGAATGACCTAAAGCATCCTTGACACATAATCATCCAAACTCTGCTTAAACACCTCCAAGGAGGGAGAACCGTCAACATCTCTGGGCAATCAATTCCACCACTGAAACCCTTATTTTAAAAAAGTTTTTCCTAATGTATCCCACTGATCTCCCCAGTCCCAATCCATAATTTAAACCCATTATTACAAGTCCTATCCTCCACTACCAATTGAAATAGCATCCTACCCTCCTCTAAATGACATCCCTTCAAATATTTCAAAGGAGTGATCTTACCGCCCTCCACCTCCTCTTCTCCATGCTGAACATTCTCAGTTCCTCATAAGTCTTAGTCTCCAACTCCAAACCCCTAATCATTCTTGTTGCTGTCCTCTGCACCTGCTCTAAAGGTCACACACACTACTACCCAGAAGACTATCCCCCATCAGGTATGTGCACATAATAGGGTTGCCAAATCCAAATGCAAAACCTTACATTTATCTCTATTAAATTGCATCTTGTTCATATCTACCCAATTTTTCCAATATATCCGATTGTATTTTATCTGTATCTTCTGGAGTGTTCGCTATCCCTCCTAATTTGGTGTCTTCTGCAGATTTAATGAGTAGTTCCTTCATAACCTAATTTAGGTCATTAACAAAAATATTATAATGCATTGGGTCCAAAACCAAGCCGAGCAGCGGCCCACTGGATGCTACCTTCCAAACAGACAAGAATCCATTAACTACTGCCCCTTGGATGTGATTATCCAACTAATTCCCTATCCGCCTAACCATCGTAAAATCTCATCCTCAGCCTTCTAACTTGCAAATCAAAACAACATGGGAAACATTATTAAATGTCTTACTAAAATCTAAATATACAATATCCATGGCACAACCTACCAAACCTGTCACCTGATCAAAGAAGGAAATGAGATGAGTCTGTCAAGACCTCTTAGGGACAAATCCAAGCTGACTACTTCTTATCGCCAAGTTATCCTCTAGATGTTAACAAATCAGCTCTTTTAAAATCAGTCCCAAGATTTCCCCTGGGACCAAGGTTAAACTGACCGGCCCATAGATTCCCAAATCATCCTTCCTCCCCCTTTTAAAAATTGGGACATCATTCGCCCTTCTGCAATCATCTCACACATTGTCTGTCTTCCAAGAGACCTTGAAAATAATGGATAAGGGCTCTGCTCCCCAGCTATTTCTTTTAGCACTCTCTGTGGACACCATCCAGCCCAGAGGACTTCCACCCATCCAAAGTATCCAGATACTTCTGAATGACCTCTGTATTGATATCCTCCTGCAAATCTGAATCCTGCACATCAGTGATCCCAAGTGGGCCTTTACTCTCCTTCAGAGAGAAGTCTGAGGCAAAATAGGCATTGAACCTCTCTGGCTTTGCTTTATCCTCTGTCAGAGTTTCTCCATTTTCACCCAAAAGTGTTCATGTATTGTACTTCATGTATTGTGTAGTATTTCATGCAAGAACAGCTCATGTATTGTTCTTCTGCCAGAATTGTACTGGCAGGGGAAAAGGTCACTTTTGGATAGAGTATATCTGCATGAAAACTGTGCAATGCAAAAAATATGGTTGGGAATTGCTTTGGGTAATCATGTAGGTAAGTCCTGAAGTTCTTAGGTTAGACGTTCAACAGCAGTCTAGACACTGAACAACTTTCATTTGAACCAGAGGGAGGGAAGGTCAGGTCTGAGTTCTTACAACTGGCAAAAGGCTTGTACTAACAGCTATATTGAATGCTTTCTTTCCTTGTCCTTAGATCAAGTTAAAGCTCCTGGTTCCTCAAACGGAGGAGGAAAAGATTGAGTATAGCATTGCTGCTGAACGCCGCCGGATGCGTCTGGCCCATACAGACACAATCAAAGACCTTCTCACTAACAGCCCTGTGCATTCTGGTAGAGTAACCCACAGGCTCTTTTCTGGGGCTTTTGTTTAAAGGCAGAGGTTGTCCAGTACATTGATTCAGCCTGGGCTGGAAATAGCAGCATGTTAATGAGCATCAAATAGGAATAGACAGCTGTAGTACACCCAGAAGAAGAGAGTCTACCCCTGCATCTGGACATCTGGAGCACACAACAGTTTATTTAATGGCAGGGTCCCCATGACTAAATGAAGAATGAAATATTTATGTAGGTACAGTACAATGTACCTACATTAAGTTGTATATATTCAGACTCTGTATAGCTGCTAACACTGGACCAGTGCCTCACAATGTCCCATCTAGACATCCTCAGCATTTATCTAGAGCACAGGATTGTGTATGTGTGCATCATGGGCCAGGCACAATGGCATGTACCCAACCTTCCATTTACAGAAGGCACACAGAATTTTCCCATGTTCGTCTCTGTTATTTCTTGCAGTCCCATCCAGCCTCCAGAAGGGTCATTCCTGAGGTTGCAGGATCCATGTGGAGGACTATCCAGGCAGGTTGGTGGGGCTGGAGTGAGGAGGGACAAGGGGATGAAATGGACCCCTGTGACCTCAGTGGACCTGGGCTTGCAGGGGGGAAAGGAGGCCTGATTTCACCTCCTTGTCCTTCCTCACTCACTCCAGCCCTCTTGACTTTATAAAAAGGTAAAGGTTCCCTTGCTCGAAAGCCAGTCGAGTCCAACTCTAGGGTTGCGGTGCTCATCTCCGTTTCAAAGCCGAAGAGCCAGCGCTGTCCGAAGACGTTTCCGTGGTCATGTGGCCGGCATGACTAAACACCAAGGCGCACGGAACGCTGTTACCTTCCCACCGAAGTGGTCCCTATTTATCGACTTGCAATTCCTTGATTTCGAACTGCTAGGTTGGCAGGAGCTGGAACTAGAGATGGGAGCTCACTCCATCATGTGGCACACTCAGGTCTCGAACTGCTGAACTACTGACCTTCCACGGCCTGCAGCTCAGCGTCTTAACCACTTGAGCCACCGCAGCCCCTCTTGACCTTATAGTGTTTGTTTAATTTTGGCATGAGAATGTATGTATGCATGTATGTATTTGTTGTTACTAGGAAATTGAGTTGCTTGGTTTTTGCTATTTTATATCTTTATGCTACATTATTTATCAATCTGCTGCTAACAATATATTTTATGTTTCTAATATTTAATACTGTGTTTAACTCTTCTGCTATTAATTTTTACCTACTGTTGGCATTTTATGTTTGTAATTTATCAGTTAGGTGCTTTTGATACCTTTTTTTTTATTTGGAAAAGGTGACATGTATGTTTTTAAGTAAAATAGATAAAGCACTAGCTAGAAGTAAATGAAGTACACCCTTCTTCTGCAAGGTTGTATGCTGCCTAAAGAGGAGGAAATGGTCGGCATTGTGGAGTAGCTGTCACAATAGATTGCTTGAGAGGCATGTTGTTAAGTAAGTGATAGGCCTGGTCCCCGTTTCACAACACCTGCCCTGCTATTATATTTATTTAGCACATCATGCTTTCCTACAAATGCTGATGCTCCATGTCCTCTGCGGTCTGTACACTTGATGCAAAGGCACTGTTTAATACTACCTGTAGCAGTTCCTGTCTTCTTCCCTGCCAGACCACTTAGGTTCCCAGCAAATGCAAGAGAAGTGGGCTAGGAGACTTCTAAGCTCATTAGTCCTTTGTGCTTGTTTAGGTTTTCGTAAGTCCTCCTGAGATGTTTGTACCTTTCCATTCATCTTGCTGCTAAAACACTATGGTTTTTTGACAGAGGGCGAGAACAGAGAGTGCAACACTGTGGTACCTGCCGAAAAGACCAGAGTGGAGAGTGTGGAGCTAATTCTGCCTCCACATGCCAATCACCAGGGAAACACATTTGGAGGGCAGATCATGGCCTGGATGGAAAATGTGGCCACGATAGCAGCAAGGTGGGTTGCTTTCTGACCTTTGCGTGTCTGAGGGCCAAACTAGACGTGACGGCGGCAGAACAGTCTCCTTAGATGCGGGTCTGTCTTAATTGCATATCAAGTGGTGTCTGGGTGAGTCCAGTTGCTAACCTGACTTCTGTCCTTGGTGATAACTTCCCTCATCTGGGTTCTGAGGTCCATCCAGCTGGGAGAAATCCATGGAGAGATCATAACAAGCTGTGGACAGGGAGAACGCTTAATATCCCTCACTTGTGCACTGTTGCTAAAATTCAAACCCATTTTATAAACATGTATAAATCTACATATAAAATGCAGTTCTGCATTTAAAGAGATGTCTGCTCAGCTCTTTACCCAGAAGGACTCCTGCTCCATTGTGTATAAGTGACAATTGGAAGAATTTCCACAGGATGCAGCTTTGAAACTGCACTTTGAAATCCCTGCAAGGGGATTACAACTGTATGGAAGCCTTGCCCCTCAACCCCTGCTCGAATGATCTAAGTGTAGCTGCTCCAGAAAATGTCAAAAGTATCACCTAATGCAGGATGAGCACCTAACATCAACTGCTAAAGTTTTCATGGTATTAAAGCTCCCAAGGTTAAAGGTATTTACTATACATACATTAACAAGTACCTCTAGGCTTTCTGACTCTACAGCGAAAGATGGCAACCAGGCTGGCCGTTGTGTGACAGCAGAGGTCATATGGGGGGATTCTCTTCCTTTTTCTTGTGACCTGAAACAAACATTGGGCTAGCCTCCCAGCTGGCTTCATCACAGTTCTGGTTAACTGGCTAAAAGTGAACAAATTGAAACTAAACCCTGAAAAGACAAAGGAAATGCTGGTTGGGAAGGAGGTGGTCTTGAAGGACATTGTTCTCCCCACTCTTGATGGAGTTCTTTTTTGACTATTAAGAGCCTTGGGGTCATATTGGATCCAGCTTTATTACTGTAGAAGCAAGTTAATGCAGAAGGCTTTCTGTCAATGCAGCCTAGCTCATAAGAAGGCCCCTTACCTTGATACGGCTGATCTGGCCACCTGGATCCACACCACAGTAACATTGAGACTAGACTACTGTAATGCATTGTACATCGGTCTCCCCTCAAACTCAACTCAGAAACTCCAGCTGGTCCAGAATGCCATAGATGGAGCATGCATATTACTCCCATTCTGCAGATGCTCCACTGGCTGCCCATCTGTTACGGGGCTCACTTTAAGGTATTGGCTATTACATACAAAGCCCTTCTTACTTATGGGACTGCCCTTCTCCCTATGTTCTGCCATGACAACTTTGCTCAAGTCAGTAAGAGCTTCCGCGGGTGCCAACCTACAAATGGGCAAAATCAACAACTAGCCATACGTGCGCTTTTCTCTCTTGTGGCTCCTGCCTTGTGGAATGGCCTGCCCAAGGTGGTTAGGAACACTCCCACTCTCCTTGCTTTCCACAAACTATGCAAACCTTAGCTATCAAAGAGGGCTTTTCTGTGCAGATAATAGGGCTGCACTGAACAAAATGGTTTTACAAACTTGCTTGGATAAATGATTCGGGACTGTGGTCTATACTGCTGTGTATAAAGGTTTCCCTTGCTTGAAAGCCAGTCGAATCCAACTCTAGGGGGTGGTGCTCATCTCCGTTTTCAAGCCGAAGAGCCAGCGTTGTCAGAAGATGTTTCCGTGGTCATGTGGCCAGCATGACTAAATGCCGAGGTGCACAGAACACTGTTACCTTTCCATCAAAGCGGTACCTATTTATCTACTTGCAGTTCCTTGCTTTTGAACTGCTAGGTTGCAAGGAGCTGGGGCCAGAGACAGGAGCTCACTCTGTCAATGCAGTACTAGGGTCTCATACTGCTGATTTACAGACCTTCCAGTCTGCAGCTCAGCATCTTAACCTCTGAGTCACCGCGGTTCCTAGACTGCTGTGTATAGCTTGTAGTAAATAGGGTCTATTTATGTAATTTCTGTACCGCTTAATGTGTCATGTGAATACTTATGGTGTGCTTCAGTTCTTTCTGGTGGTTCCAGACTTCTAAAATCCTAATGCACTGATTACTGAATGTCCCATTTTGTTGATTGTACTGCCTTACTATGAGCGGTTGCCAAAACAATATTTGTTGATTCTACTGACTCACTGTGTGTAATCAGCCTTGAGTCCCTGTGAGAAAGGCGGACTATAAATAATGTAAATAAATAAATATATAAAATTCAAACAGGGGCTACTCTGTGCCTGAAATAACCCTTTGAGAAAGTACTAGAAGAATCTAGATTTCTAATTTACCCGTTAGTCTATATTTAGCTGCAGTTATTCAGGCCTTATTGCTATGGCAGAACTATATTTTGTCACAGAACTGCCTCCTCAGGACATACCATGCTGTGCCCCTGGTTTAGCTTTAATTAACAAATAGGTAGCACTTAACCTCCTCTTTACTCAGGTCCTTAACTCACCAGGCTGTTACATTGTTTTTCTTCTTAAATCTGGGATTCCTTTGTACCTGCTGAGCTCCTTCATAAACCTGCATCTATATGCCCCCCCCCCCAATCCTAATTTGTATTGTAGCCACTTGGAATCAGAGACCTTAGTGTTAAAGGGTAGGGTGGCATGCAGTGAGGCATCCTAACTTATTGGTCTACTGTAAAGGCAACAAAGAGCTCTTTTGAAATTGTTCTCCTACAAGATAGAGGACCTTTTGTTGAAACCACTCGGCCAGGTTGAAGAGAAATGGTCCTTCTTAGAGGACATCTACTTTTCTGTAGTCAAAACTATATTCTGCATGCTGTTGCTTTGCTAAAAGCAGCACTCTGGTCTCCCCCTGGTTGCTGAGAAATGCATCTCTCATCAGTCTATGTATAAAGCTGGTGCATATGCTCTTTGTGGCTGTCCCATAAATAAGCAGGTTTGCTGTGTCTCTCTTCACTAGGGACAGTTTGTTCCATCAGTGGCAGCCTCCATTCTGGAAGTGTTTTATCCAAGGCCTTAAATGGTGCCAAAGACTGACACTGGCTTTATTGCAAGAGATAAATGGACTGTTATCCTTCAGGTGGCACTGTGTCTTCATTAATTCTGGCTGTTATGGGTTTTGGTTTGTAAATCTGTGGAGAAGGGTTAAATGTATGTTTCACAGCCTCCCCACATTCCCTTATTGTTAGGAACTGCTAGTGTCCTTATTGGGTGAAGAGGTGGGGGTTTTTTGTAGTAAAAGGTCTGAGGAATTCCGAGTAGATTTGATTCTCTAGGCCTGGCTCTTGCGGTGTCATGGTGTATGTGGTGAAGCAATTCCATGTCTTGTGGGAGATTAGAACCTGTTTCTAACTGGCAATGCTTGCAAATCTTCTATTCTGCAGGGAACAATGAGGTGTGTGTACTAGTCTTTTTCTCTGAATGCCAAATATGCTTGCTTCTGTTTCTTTGCTAGCCGATTGTGCCGTGCTCACCCCACCTTGAAGACAATTGAAATGTTCCATTTTAGAGGACCATCTCAAGTTGGGGACCGCCTCCTCTTCAAGGCCATTGTCAACAATGCATTCAAGAACAGGTACGCCTTTTTTGTTCTCTAGAGGCAGACCAATGGGAACCCTTACTGTCTCAAACTACAAACTGTGTTACGTTTCACTGGGACAAGTGCAGAGCTACATTTTGTCTACCCTGTGAGCAGTGCTTTACCTCAGATGAGTGACAGGACAAGCTTTCTTTCTGGAGGAACGTGCCAGAATGGAGTTCCAGAACGTCTTCTACAGAATTCTTTCAAAAATGTTTAAAAGTTCATACGTTTTCAGTATACAGATTGAAAACATTTTCCTCTTGAGAGTTCTGGCACCTCTTTTTTTTAAAAAAGCCCTGGTGACTGAGAATTTAAGATGTCCCCAGTGACCTCCAAAATTTGGTCTTTTTGCTTGATAGAAATCTGAGTAAGTCAAAGTCATCCAGGGTCCGTCCTGTGAGTAAATATCTGACACTTTGAAAGCTGCCCTTTAAAATGAGTTTCCTCATTGGAACTAGAACTTAGCAAAAAGCCCCTTTTGGTCTAGAATCTATTCCTGCTTGTCACGGTATTGTGTTTGATATTTGGCCAATTGTTGCCGCTGAAATAATCATGTTCTTAATTCCAGCATGGAGGTTGGGGTGTGCGTAGAAGCTTATGGGCATGAAATGGAAGTCAGCCGAAGGCATATCAACAGTGCCTTCATGACCTTTGTGGTCTTGAATGGAGGTGGTCAGCCATGCACACTGCCAGTGCTGAAACCAGAGCCAGGACCAGGCCAGTCACTGATGTGGTCCTGCTCTGCACCAAAGAAGAACTTGAAGACTGAAGACTCAAGTTTTGCATGCCTTAATTCTGTCTAGAACATAGTTAGCAGTGTAGCATGCCAATTATGCATAGTTGTAGTAATTATCACGCTTCATTAGCAATGCATGTGGGTAGTGGAACCCGTAGGATTCCAGGCGGGGAGTGTGCTGCCTCCAGTAAGCATTAACTGTAGGCAGTAGTAGTAGTTTTGGTAAAACTGGTGTGTAGCTTTAAGACTAGTTGCACCTGGGAATTGTAGTCCTCAGTTAGGGGTCCCAGCAGCTTTCCTCTGACTGGCTCATTAGGGTAATTTCCTGAGCTCAGAGGCGCAAAGATAGGAGTTTTATTGCTCTTTTCCTGCTTCTTTTGTCTATCCTTACCGCGAAGGAGAAGGGGAATCTCATCTCTTTCTCACCACGGCCATAGAATTGACTTAGATCACAAAGATGTAACTACTCTACCCAGCTATCAGCCTGATTGTGAGTAAATGATCTTCTGAATGCATGTGGAGTTAAAATAAAGATGATTTAAGCCTTCGTCAGGGGTCATGCGTTGACTCATACCTAGAAGGCGTTGGCTAGCTGAAGCCAGTGCGGGACAGGACAGCCAACCTGAAAATGTTATTCATGTTTGCTCAGAAGTTACGGAAGCCTCTTAAGGAAGAGGTGGATCTGGTCAGGTACAGACTGAAGCAAAATTGATTTTTTTCCTCAGGGCCAACCTGAAAATGTTATTCATGTTTGCTCAGAAGTTAGGGAAGCCTCTTAAGGAAGGTATTTAATAACACTGAATTCGTGATTTCAAGGCACAAGTGCATATTGATCATGTAATTAAATTAAACCGGGGTTTGATACCTCACTCATCCACTTGCAGCTGCTGGATGACCTTGGGCAAGCCACAGTTCTGTCAGAGCTGTTCCTGAAAGAGCAGTTCTTGAAAGAATCTCTCAGCCCCACCTACCTCGCAGGGTGCCTGTTGTGAGAAAGGGAAGGGATAGGCGTTTGTAAGCAGCTCTGAGACTCCAAGTGAAGGGTGGGGTATAAATCCAATCTTCTTCTTCTGCATAGATAATTGAGCACAGACCATACTTCAGTGGAAGCTAAATTCAGACAAAGCTTCAGGATCCATAACAATAGATGACTAGAATCCTAGAATGGACCAATAGGGAAACAGGGATCCTAAAGTAGACCAATAGGGAGCCAGGGATCCTAGAGTAAGCCAGTGGAAATACAGGGTAGTGTAAATAGCCTATTGTGGGAGGGGGGGTGTGTTTGGGGTGTAACCTTTTGCATGCATAAATACCTGGCTTTGGTCAGGGATTCTCAGTCTTATTTTCTACTTGCTGAAATCACCAATAAACTATGAGCTGATCACTCTACGCATCTGAACCCAGTATATTTCAATAATCTTCATCAGATTAGCATCCAAGGCACAGACTAAAATGTGGCCCACAGTGTGCATCTCCTCCCACCTCCACTGATAACTTTCTTTTATCCAAAAGCAGCAATGGAGTGCTAGGAACTTGAGCATTGGCAAAGAGGAAGAGGGACTGATTACCACTTCCCTCTCTGGACTGTTTTCCATTCAAGACTCCCCCCCCCTTCCCTCCCCAGCTGCTTTTCTACTCATCGAGGTCCCACAACGAGTTATTCAGAAGCCATTTGAAGTGACTACGATGATCAGTCATCTAGTAATCTGTTCTGAGCATAAAAACATTACTGTTTGCATGGAGCTTTCCAGTTCAGAATAGCTTTCCTGTTGGATGCAGCAGAGGAAGATATGGTGTTTATGTGCTTTGTTTTACCTGTGGTACATCTTATATGTCTTTAGAAGAATAAGGTAGTCTCTGCCTAGAAAAGCTCAGTTTGTGTATTAAGGCACATGTGGAGCTAATGTTTATGAGGCTCGGTCTAAACAGAGGAACAAGACTATTGGACTGGAACTCTGGCATGTACTGTTGGTCCTCAAAAATGGCGACAACGGGACCTGATTGAAACTATGGGGATTGAAAAGGGAAGGGGGTTAACTGTCTTCCCCCTACACAATTCCCCAACCTAAAGGAGGGATAGGTACACTGTTGGAGATATTTTGGGATGCAGAGTAGCATTTCTTTATGTCCAGTGCTATTTAGATTAATTTTCTGCCATATGTTAGCCTTCCTTAGATTTCTTTTGCATCTCTAAGTGTAATTCCCCCCAGCTTTTTCTCCCTACTGCTCATTGTTTGCTTCCCTTGTATCTCCTTGAAACAAGAAACTCCAGTTCAAATGTTTCTACAGCTGCATTCTCCAGTTGCTGCTCTACCTTCCAAGGGGTGGGTGGTGCGAGTAAAACTACAAGGGTGATAAAGGCTTTTCCAGATTCCTGCTTTATATCTTTCCTTTTGTGACATGTCTCTCACAAGCCTTGGGTGGTCAGCCTTTACTTGATTATAGTCAGCCCTCTAATCTGAAACACTTATCGACTAAAACAAGTGAAGACCCGCAAGAAAGTTGCAGCATGATTATCCCATTCCTCACACCTTTGCTTCCTCCCCTCTCCCCCTACCTGTCTCACACTCTTTCTCCCTTCTGTCCCCCCTTTTCTTACTCTCTGTCTCTCCTCCATGCATGTTACTTCCTCTCTCTTTCTGACTCCTCATCATTTTCTTTGTTTTTCTGCCTCCCCACCTCATCACTCTCTCTTCCTGCCCCCATCACTCTCCCAGCCTCCTGCCTAGTTCCTCCCCCGCCCTGTACAGCAGCAGCAGTAGTGGCGGTGCTCCCAGCCACCCACCTGTTTCCTCTCCCCCTACAACAGCAGTGGCAGCCAATGTTCCCTCTAAGCTGTGGAGCCTTGTGAGCAAAAATTCTACTTTGTGAGCTACTGGCATTAAAGTTGTGAGCGAGGGATTTGTCTACTGCATAAATTAGTCTGCTCTGGAGCCATCCCTCCTGAGCTAAGACCAAAATGTGTGAGCCAGAGGCTAAAAATCTGTGAGTTAGCTCACACTAACTCAGCTTAGAGGGAGCACTGGTGGCAGCTCTCCAGGAATCACAACAGATCTCCCAGCTACAGAGATCAATTCACCTTACGACTGTCAACTACAGGTTGGGAAATTCCTGGAGATTTGGGGGTGGAGCCTTGCGATGGTGAGGCTTGGAGAGGCAAGCAGACTCAGCAGGGTATAATGTCATAGACTCAACCCTCCAAAGCAGCCATTTTATCTTGGGTGACTGATCTCTGTCACCTGGACAGCAGTTGTAATTCTGGGTGATCTCAAGCCCTCACCTGGAGGCTGGCAAAGGTAGTTCTTGTGGAGGAAATGGCTGGTTTGGAGGGTGGAGTCTATGGCATTACACCAGTCCAAAGTTCCTCCCCTCCTCAAACCCCACCCTCTCCAGGCTCCACCCCTCAAATGTCCAGGAATTTCCCAACCTGGAGTTGGCAATCCTATTTCCTTCCCAACCAACAGCCAACCTACCTTTATCTGCCTCTCTGTCTTCAGCTTTCCATCTCCCCCCCCCTCCCCCACAGCCTCTACCTAGGAAAATTAGTCTTTCTCCACAGTGGGGACCAAAGCAGCTTACATTATTATCTCCTCCTTTTTATCTGCACAACAGCCCTGTGAGGTTGGTTAGGCTGAAAGTATGTGACTGTTCCAAAATCATCCAGTCAACTTCCACTGCAAGATGGGGATCTGAACCTGGGTCTTGCACACCCTACTTTGAAGCTCTAACTGCTGCACCATACTGGCTT